GCGTGTTTCCGTAAGCGATGGTAGAACAGACAGCTTAGCTATTGGACCTCTCCTTCCAATTTAATTTGCCACAAGAAAGACTATTGCAAATAATGAAAAGATTTACTATAATTTCTCCACTCTGCGAACTGCCAGTTGACCACCATCTGTTGCATGATATATAGTTCTTGATGGAACCCCCAACCTCGTTTCCAGGACCCTGGGAACGAGGTTGGGAACCCCTCTCTATTTCAATTCCTAAAGACCGATTTGCTGTACACAACTGTTTCCTAAAACTGTCGCATAGCTGGAATTACCTATTGGCGTGTTTCCGTAAGCGATGGTAGAACAGACAGCTTAGCTATTGGACCTCTCCTTCCAATTTAATTTGCCACAAGAAAGACTATTGCAAATAATGAAAAGATTTACTATAATTTCTCCACTCTGCGAACTGCCAGTTGACCACCATCTGTTGCATGATATATAGTTCTTGATGGAACCCCCAACCTCGTTTCCAGGACCCTGGGAACGAGGTTGGGAACCCCTCTCTATTTCAATTCCTAAAGACCGATTTGCTGTACACAACTGTTTCCTAAAACTGTCGCATAGCTGGAATTACCTATTGGCGTGTTTCCGTAAGCGATGGTAGAACAGACAGCTTAGCTATTGGACCTCTCCTTCCAATTTAATTTGCCACAAGAAAGACTATTGCAAATAATGAAAAGATTTACTATAATTTCTCCACTCTGCGAACTGCCAGTTGACCACCATCTGTTGCATGATATATAGTTCTTGATGGAACCCCCAACCTCGTTTCCAGGACCCTGGGAACGAGGTTGGGAACCCCTCTCTATTTCAATTCCTAAAGACCGATTTGCTGTACACAACTGTTTCCTAAAACTGTCGCATAGCTGGAATTACCTATTGGCGTGTTTCCGTAAGCGATGGTAGAACAGACAGCTTAGCTATTGGACCTCTCCTTCCAATTTAATTTGCCACAAGAAAGACTATTGCAAATAATGAAAAGATTTACTATAATTTCTCCACTCTGCGAACTGCCAGTTGACCACCATCTGTTGCATGATATATAGTTCTTGATGGAACCCCCAACCTCGTTTCCAGGACCCTGGGAACGAGGTTGGGAACCCCTCTCTATTTCAATTCCTAAAGACCGATTTGCTGTACACAACTGTTTCCTAAAACTGTCGCATGCAACTTGCTTACAACTTGAGTTGTACTGTGTAAATCAACCACCACACAACTCGCCTACAACAACGTACAACTCAAGTGGTAAGCAGGTTGCATGCAAAAGTTGTATAGTGTAAATCTGGCTGAAGGGTTTTGAGTTAAGGCTTCATGTCATAAGCGTGTATATTTTTCTTTGCAGTCTTTCCCATTCCCAAATCTAATAAAACACTGCAGATAGTGATGATCGATACCATGAGCCTTTGCTTTCCAAGGTAATTTTTTAATCTCATACTAGACATTTAATATCAACCAGCCTAATCTCTAGACCTCTTAGTTCTTAGTACGCCTTTTCATTACATGAAACGGGTGCACATGCAGAGGACTAGGGACAAGTCTGAATCAGTTGAATCATATCAACGGCTATATCAAAGCCGTAGTTAGGTTGCAGTTATATTGTAATTTAGTTTCACTGGATGAAGGTATTTCACAAAAATGTTGTTTTACAGAATACCCAAGAAGAAAAACGCGCCCCCTGCTGAAACACAAATGGAGTGGATCAAAAATACTTTAAATGACTCCAAGTAGGTTTAATGGGTGATTACAAATTAATTTATTGGACCCAATTAACGAACTGATGTTATTATCCTGGTAGCATGTTTAATCAAGTACTTCCGACAAATCATCCGCCAGTGCGTTAATAATAATAATAATGACTTTCTCCAGTTTAAATAAAGTCATTATTATTATTATTATTAACGCACTCAAGACGACCAACATAAGGCGCAATTCCGTATGCACGTATTCAAGCACGCAGTTTATGCAGATACGATAGTTCGTATTATACACAGAAAAATAATCAGAAGACGTATAGTTTCTTTACCTTGGATGTTTTCTCTCTTCTTATACGCAGATATTCTTAATATATAATAATATTAATATCTAGGGCAGATTACCTGATTGTTTTTGGTCATCATCCAATGTTCTCAGCCGGATGGCACGGCAGCAGCCAGTCTCTTCAAGACAAGCTACAAGATTTGTTTAAACAACACAAAGTTAATGCTTACATCAGTGGACATGATCATAATCTACAGGTTGTAAACTCTCTCCAGACCACACTAATAAAAATCGTATATACGACAAACTCCATGTATATCTGTTCTTTTCAAAGATATAACTGATTTGATGTTTTTCTTTTTCATATAGCATATTGTCCCAGAAAATTCGTCCTT